ATCAAATAAATTTTCTGATAAAGTGTTAGAAGTTGTTCTCGCGTTCGTGTGTTGGTAAATTCAAAAGCAATTATGAAAACAGTAAGCACGAAGCAGCAACTACTTGCGGATTGTGCAAAGTAAACGATTCTTCGGTGTCTCCAAAACAATTTTGATATTATATTTATTTTTAGTTAAATCGTTGAAAGTTGAATAAAATAACAAAAAGGCGTTACGAGTAATGTACTAGATCTTCAGTATATGTACTGAATATGTACTGAAGACCTCGTAACGCTTTTTTGTTATTTTATCCAATTTTGATATTTTTTAAATAATTAATAAAGAATGAATCATTTTCGGGCTCTGAAGTTTTTAAAATTGTGAAATATACATCCGGTCATAAGAGCCGTTCGCAGGATGTTGTGCGGAAAATATGCAAATCTAGCATCCCCTATAATTACAAGAATTGAAATTTCAATTAAAAAAACTCATGTGTAAAAATTTACATGTGAACATGTATATATATATACGCATATTTTCCGCACAACATTCTGCGAACGGCTCTTATGATCTTATATTTTTTTAGTCGTAAAATAATCAAGAGATGTGGTTTGGAAGTCGTTTTAAAAAAAAACTCTGCTGCTAATTTAATTGCAGTTCGCGTGCGTAAACATATGTTCTCAACGCAATGCGATAAACAGCATTGAACATGTTTTTCCATCGGATATGTTGTGTTATAATGCGGCAGGTGTCGCGCTATTACCTAACGCGCGAGTTTATAATTCTTCACTTTACACGTGCGGCTGCATCACGCCCGTGTATGTGACATATTGATACGAATTTTTCTGGAATAAACTGTTAATGCGAGATTTTTATTGAATACAAGCGCCTTGACGAACCGTAAACTCGTTTCTCTGAGACGCGGAGGGATATGAATAATAGTTACCGTATACGCACGTGACGCGTGTACAAATTTGCATAGCACGTATGTGACACACAACGTGCATATAAAAAGTGTTCTCATTTACATAGATGGGAGGATACACGTTTTATAAAATGCATGAGGCAAGGAAAAATGGGCGTTTTTCGTTTTTCTGCTTGAATTCATTTATTGACGATAAGAAGAAAAGTACGCTCGATCAAACGTCTGCGATAAGCATGAGTACGTTAAATCATGATTTATGCATTTTATCGTGTGTTTCACTCGCCATAAAACATATTTATTTTCCTGTTGTTTTTAACCTTTGAAAGCTATCGTTACACAAAATCACGTTAATGTTATCGTGAGTAAAACTTCACTCCAGTATATGTTTTTTTTTTTATTTTAGAAATAAAAAATGTCGTGACAAAAAAGTCTGATCGTGTGAATGATTTCCATAAAATTGGTGTTGCTGCGGTGGTTACGGTTTTTCGTCATGATGATAGCCTTTAAGGTTAAATACGGCGCATATTATATTTGGTTATATTCGCGAGTACAATTTTTTGAATGTAAAATTGTCGCAGAAATCAAATCATCAATATTAAACTTTTTCTTTTTTTTTCAAAATCAGATTAATGTAACGACAGATGTACTTAAACCAAAAACAAGGATAACAAAACAAGGATGGACTCAATTTTGCAATTTCGTGTCGTGTGTTGTACACGATCGGACGTCTTATGCGCGAGCGGAATTAATTAAAGCCATTCTAACATTATCTCGCGCATGCTTGCGGTACTTAATTGTATGCAATTATAATCTTTGTCGTTATGTAATCGCAGACGCAATTGCTTGCTGTCGTTGCAATTTGCTTCGCTCGCTGCTGAATGATTCGTTGATAATATTAGTCCGCGGGCGTGGTTGTGTGTAGAGGATAGTATATATTACTTGCGATCGATATCCTGTCGATTAAGTTTACTATCAAAACAAGCATTTGAATAATTAATATGTAGCTTCTCTGCGACACCGATAGGACACGGCGAAAAAGATAGATATGCAACAAGCGAAGACGCGCAAACAGCTCGACACACTTGTTAGCCGTAATATGGACGTTAGAAAAATATTCTTCACAGAGAAAAAAAACATTTTAAAGACAATAAAATTGCTTTATACCATATGTTTTTTCAGCAATTTTATTATAAGTACGCTGTGAAGTTAAATGTCAAATCGTAAGCGTTTATACGTATACGTCACGGACGTATTGCAGAAGCAATTCGCTTTGATCATGTATCGTATACATTATAGTCCCTTCACCGATCACACCTCCCTTTCGACGCGCATCAGTTTCATTGACCACAGTAACGATCAATGTTGTCTCTGTCATCTATCTACTCGCATCTCATCTTCTTCGCACCGCCGTCATTCATCCTTGCCATATCGTAGATCGAAATAGCTTCTTTCCTCGCTATACAGGGTGTCTCGTTGTTATTCTTTTAACTGACTGTCTGAATATTGTCAAAGAGAGTGATGTGTTTGGCTAAATATAATTTTAAATTTTCTGTCTTTATCGAGATTTTGTTATTTGAAATTAAATTCTTGTCAAGACGATGTCTTCGTCAGAATCTAGTTAATTTTCAATATTTTTTTTAAAAGCTTACTCCGACCGTAAATTTTGTTTTTCCGAGAATGAAATGCCGTGAAAAATACTAGCGTTAGTTTGGACGCTGTAATACGTGTCGCATATAGAAAAGATACGCGACTTCCAGAATACCCTGTATATACTTGCTGGTACATCTGAGCCATTATACAATTATCGTGTTTCTCGCTCGCAGCCACGGCACATGGCTTTTGTCGGCTCACTCGCGTCAAAGCAGGCTTGTCGGACAGAGAGGTAACTCGATTTATCTCCCGTTGGTTGACGGCTACAGTCGGCGTCGAAACGTTGTTCTGCAGGCGAGTACAGAGCTCGCTTATTATTGTTTACGTAATGTTTACGTAACGCTATATATACGTACACCACGCTACACCAGCAGTCGTGATACACTTGCATCGGTGCATATCATCGTGATGCATTAGCTTCACTCGTATTTTTTTTCAGAAATGCGACCAGTCGCGGTCTTAAAATCTTACGCGATTATAAAAACGATTCATCTGAATAGTTGCCTTTCTAAGCTAAAGAGTCGTTGTTGCTATAAATTTAGAGAATATTATAAAATAAACAAATAGAAATAAAAATAAAAGTTTTATTACAAGCAATCAGATTTTTATTTTAAAAAATGCTTCGAAATTTCGCTTTTCTAAGCTAAAGAATCGTGTTGCTACAAATTTAGAAAATATTATAAAATAAACAAATAAAACTTTTATTACAGGCAATTAGGGTTTTATTAAAATTGTATATCGCAAGTTTAAAAAAACGAACTATTGTCGCATATTCAAATGTTTTCTTTAACATTTAATAATGTAAAAAAGTAAACGATTACAAACTGTTTTTAATTTACTTAATTAAAAAAAAAACCCTGCGCGTTGCATATAATTAGTAACGGTCGCCGAGGAAACGTGTTCGATCTTTTTTTGCAAACAAAAAGTAGCACACAACACTTAATTCTTGTTCGTTTTTATGAAGTGGGTGGGTCTAGCGTTTTTTGTTTGTCGCGCAAATCAGTACAAGACTCTGCTTAATCGCTTACGCTCAATTTACAGCAAAATACATTACGCAGATAATGCCGCGTGAAAAAAAAATAATGCAACCATTGTTTTTACTGGATCGGTCAGGATTTATCGTTATGATTCACATTCCGTTTCGTTACCGACCGAATAATATTTGGCACTTAAATCCGTATCACGTTTCGCGACAGACGCAATTACTTATCGGCGTTTCCATGACGGAATATTATTCCGTGCGGAATGAAACGAACCTTGGAAAGAAGCGGACGAATAAATGTCTGAGACGAAAAGCAATAGAGAAAAGGAAAGAGAGAAAGAAAGAAAACTGAGTTCTCTCGATTTCGCGACGGTGGCGACCAACGCCGATACGTGAATCATTTTATCGAGAGCAGCCCGTGAATAATATTACGGTCGATATATCGCGCCGAAGACAACGAGTCTTTAAGGTTTGAAAGGGTGATTTAGGAAACAGAGCCATGATCGCGCTCCCAAGAATTATTAACGACGCGCACGCTGTTCGTTCTGAGTTTCCCTCCTTTCGAATTCCTTCCTTCTTCGGCATCGTCTTACCTTACCCTTCGAGAAGAATGATCATTTGCGTCGATCCTAAGATTCCTTGTCTCGGAGAAAAAATTGCATTAACCAGTGAGCTGGTAATGTGTCGCACGATGGTGACGACAAAGTTTGCTTTATTACCGAAGGCTCGTAAAAAAGCATGCCGTTTCTATATATGTAGATTACATAATGTTTCTATTTTTCCGTTCACATTAGTCATTTGGGGATTTTTAAAAGATATAACGCTAAATAAAGATAATAAATTATGTCAATGCGCTGATTATGTCGGTGATAATTGCTCTTTTATTTTATTAACAATAATAAATGTAATAAATGTAATAAATATAATTGTTTAAAAAATAAAGCTAGAAAAGATTTTTTAAATGTACAATCACCAATAAAAGATTGGAAAAAGTTCTGAAAATATCGGACCTATAAGGTTAAGGAAAAAACCTTTTTTTTTTTATCTCTCCAACTACTTTTTATCTTTCTACAATATAAGCAACTTGAAATAATATATTTCACAAAGCCGAGACAAATGTCTGGCCGTATATTGCGGCTCTTTTTAGTTTCTATAAGATTAAATAAATGATGACAATAAAAATGACAAATTGTGCAAATTAAGAAAACATGATCGATCGCAGACTTACACAAGTAGATAAAAAATATATTACGAATTCAATTATGAAATTCCATTACACGCAATTAATGCAAGTTTCATTATTTATTTTCGCGATGTAGTGATTGATAAGCCTGTTTGTTTGGTTTTTTTTATAAACGATAAAAATCGTGCCATTATATATAAGAGCCAAACTTTTTATTTTATTGCGTTATTTGGTCAAGTTAATATTTTAATGACGTTGTGCATTTTTTTTCGTGATTGCAGGCTGAGGATCTCCTGGACGACATTTTGTCGTTCGAAGCTGGTTCCTTGGGGGATGGATTGAAAGACGGTCAAGCCGGAAGTCTTACAAATATACAAGATCTTCAGATTAAGCCGGAACCTCTTTTGCTCACTGAGGCGGAGATTCATGCGCTCGCTAAAGATCGGCAAAAAAAGGATAATCACAACATGAGTAAGTTAATTACCGTTTCTTTCTGATTAGGTTTGAAAAAATTCTTCTTCCGTTTTTCTGAAACATTAAAATTTCCACATTATTTCAAAATGTTGTGTGTATTATTTTTTAAATATTCAGTTCATGCTAAAAATTGGTCGTACACAGACATTAAAATGTGCAATAACATAATTTATATTGTTATAAAATACAAACGTATACATTTTGATCCGTAGATTAGGGATGTTTTGCGTATTTTAAAATTTTATTCTGAAATTTTTATATTTCGAGCACGTGTATATTCCGCAATAAAGTTGACGTTTTAATCTTGCCTCTTCATACAGCTTTGAATTTTCGATCAGCAGACCGTAAGCAAATGCTTGTTTACCCGTGTAGAAATAATTGATAAGCACCACCGTGCAATTTACACTTCAATGGTAGCAATCGGTTGTACCACGACGTTGTCATTTGTTCACTACATTACACTTATGTCAATATCGTATATAGACAACGTAAGTGTGGACTATTTAAATGACAATAGAAAAGTGTCCTGCCGCTTGTTCTCACATTGGCTGTCTATTATTACCTCGAATGTACCTCAATTAAACTCGTTTATCTCTTATCTGATAACGCGAACAACACCGGCCGGAATAAAACTTTTTGTATTTTTTTTTTCACGGTACGTTGCGTAAATTCTTCTGTACACGTTTGAAGAGAACAAACTGTTTTTTTAAATATTTTATATAGATACATATCGCTAACTATATATTTTAATTAAATAATTAAAACAAAGAAATATACGTAAAATATTATTTAAAAAAACTGCAGATTTTTACAAATAAAATTTTTTATTACAGTTATATTGTGGAACATAATTTGTTAAAACTACAAATACATGGAAATATTAAATCTAATATGGAATTTAAAAACACAAAATTATTTTGCAAAATCCATTACGTAACACTTTTTAAGTGTGAATAAGTGTTAAATGCCGAAAATTACTATAAATGTCATTGTGAGAAATTCTCATTAAGGTAACAAAGTGGATTAACTTCTCGGTACATGTTGCGAGCAAATAAACAATTTTTTGCAATATTCGAGTAATACCACACTTTTACCGGGCGTCGAGGTCTATTTTACGATGCAATACGCGTTTACACGCCGAATCATGCAATTGTATTCGCACGAATCGCGGCGAATCCCGTGAATTTGGCCGAGTAATCACTGAGTTTCAGTTATCTCGCCTGGTTTTCCAGGCCAAAGTGCAATAATTTTAACGTACGCGCGACTATTTTCCGATTTGCTCGCAAAAATGTGTACATACGGGAATATTGTCACTTTATTATTGTACATGATTTGATTTTAATGTTTTCTAATTTGTAAACGTGTAATTTTGGAAATAACAAATTATAAGCTTATACTGCAATTAATACAATTTTCTTTCGCTCTGTTTACGAAAAATATTTTAACGATGTTACGGTCAATTAGCATTTGTTTATTTTAAATTAGAGAATTAGCATTTGTTAATTAGCATTTTTACATTTTCGATTAGAGAACTTGATTTTTTTCACTTTATCGAAGTTGGATAAGAAAGTTTGTGTATAAAGGAGAATAAAAAATAATACGCAAAGAGAAATATATAATTTAATATTATCTTAAATATAACAATTAACAATAGCGTAATATGAATAAAATAATGGTTTTTTATAATTTTTTTGTTTTTTATTAAAGTTACAACATATATTTCAATTCATTTTTTTCTTTCTCTAAACGCAATCCCCACTATTTCTTTCACAAGTCTGTCTCGACGATATCTCTTGCGATTAGGACGTCGCTAAAATTGCAAAAAATGACACGACACTCGTAAGCGAAACAAGCGGAAATCAGAGCCGGTAGCGAAAGCTGCATTGGGAGAAACTGGAACATTCAATTTTCCGAAAACAATCGTAGATGTAATGAAAGGCGAGTTGCGGCTGAGAGTGAGAGTGAGAGAGAACAGGACAAAGAAAGCGGATCGAGTTTGTGAAAGAAAATAGCGAAATAACGGTCGCAGGGAGTATATGTGTGAACACGGGAAATAAAATGGAAACATTGCAACAGGATAGTCGCGTTACACTAATTCGCGTTTTTTTTTTTTTTTTTATCTCGCTATTATTGACTACTATTGTACGTTTTTGCTCGGTGCATTATCGATTGCACGGTATACCTACCTGTCTACAACTACACGGGCAAGAAACAAAAGAAGTACTTATCGGCGAGACTGTGAAACTCGCTATTTTGTATGCGAACGATATTCATGCAACATAAGTCGATTCGTGAACGCATCTTTCTTAAGTCTAATTAATTATTAAGTACGTGTTATGTTCGCTTAATTATTTCCTACGTACGTTAGAGTTAACGTATTTTCTTCGCTTGTTTTCACTTACAAGAAACGTGATCAGGCGATTTTTTGTTTCGCGTTGTTTTTATTTTTGTACAATTTAATTTCCAAATTTTTTTTAAAATTATACATAAAAACTGTGACACAAGTATAAAATAAAAATAAAGAAATAAAAGTAAATAAAAAATAATGAAAGTTTTTTTATATGAAGAAATCAATTTTAAATATTCGCGCGAAATATTTTTTCTATAAAATTGATATATTACTTGTGGAAAGCAGGATGTAGAAAATTATTCGAACATTTCTCTCGTATTGCAAAGGCATCTCGCCAGAGGTGAAGCATAATTTCGCATTTCTTTTGTAAGGGAAATTTAGACTGATGAGACGCTTTTTCCCTAATCATCGCTTGTATCTTGAATAATTTTTTTTCACTAGAAACTAGAGGTTTGCTGATTGATGAGACTCGTTGTCATCGATTAGAAAAGCGTGTCTTCCTTGATTCCAAGCGAGAAGCATAGGTTTGCGTATCTTCTCAACATAATCGGGCAGCTTCGATCTTTGTCGTTTGTCCCCTCTCTCTCTCTTTCTCTCTCTCTCTCTCTCTCTCTACCTTCTCTTTCTCGACTTTCCAGCTTGCTTCACCCTCCTCTAAATTAACCATCGTAATCTAATCAGTAGGATCAGAGGAAGTTCCTTCTCATTCTACTCGTTGTGTTCATTGCTCTTTCTTCGCCGTTTCATCTCTCTGCTTCTCTTCGTTTCTATCTAACTTTTTCACTCTTAAAACGAATCGAATACAAGAAAGGAAGTTACAGCTTCCACAAAGTTTTCAAGGCTGCTCCTCTCTCTCTTTCTCTCTCTCTTTTCTTGCGTGTGCAACGTTTCCTGGATCGTATCTCGTCTTCTTTACGTTTTATGATGCTGTTTACAAATATTTGTTTCTGCATGAATCAGTAATTTGTAGAATTTGTGACTTGGCGTGGATGTGTGATGTACTTTGAACTGTTACGGAACTAAAAGCAAATCCAAGTCTTGTACGTATTTAGAACCGATTTTTCCTTGACTCGCTTTACATAGTTTCAACATAATTTCGTTTTTCGAAAACGTTAATTTAGGAAAAATAAGAAGAGATCCTTATCAAGTTTATCTCTACTGAGAAAACGATGCATTAATTGAACATTATTAAGAACGGAGGAATTAAGTCGCGTTATCGGATCCAGAATAAACATTGTTCGCGATAATATATATATATAATTTTTTCGCACTTCTTACTTTTTTATTTTCTTATCGCGCTGCAATTCTTATCGAGAATTTTTGTTCAAAGACGATTAATTTTGATGAAGATAAAAAAATATTGATATTTATTTATCGGCAGCACCGGATGACGAAATGTTCAAAGAAGAAAACCAAAAGAAAATTGATCGGCCCCGGGCTTCTCGTATCCACCTTTTAACGATATTAGTTTTGATATAATTCTTCGTTTTCTTCGCCCGCGACGGGGAAGTGCTGTTCCCCGTCCAAGATGTGCTTTAACAAATTTACTCTTCTGACAGCGAGTTATCACCGTCGTGATCGTGCTATCGATACTCTAGACGCCGATAGTCAAGCCAAACGGCTTGACTTCTCGCACCTTCGTTCGGGAGATACCTGGCCGGAATAATCGATCGGAAATGGGGTCACGTGCCAGCGATAGGGGCGATCCGGTTCGCAGTCTTTTCCGCTGAGGAGATACGAGATATATCCTCCGGAAAGCGCGATATGCTTTCCCGCCGAATAACTTTGATACGAGACGACGACGATACCTCTCGTGTATTCGGAGACGGGAATAATTTGACCCTCGACGATACGCGCGCGATTCAGGACAACGATACGATTTATCAGAATTGAGCGATTGACGGATATCGCGTTTGCTGGCATCTGATGGAAAATAATAGCGCGAACTCGGCGCGCGCTAGACTTTTGTAACAAAATAAATTCTTACGGAAACAATAACATTAGTAGACATTGACTTTTTGCAGTGCGATTTGTACAAAAGTAATTTTATTTATAATTTCCATAAACGTGTAAACATCAATGTGCAAGATGAAGTAGTCTACTCTTTCGACAAGTCGTTGCCCGTCATATGCACGTATGCCAATTCGGTCTTGGGATTAGAAGGCGAATTAACAAACGCGACGCGATCTATCTCTTGCATCTGTCGCGAGCGAATCATGATTGATGTGCACAATTTCCGTTTTCAGTCGAGCGACGGCGGCGTTTCAACATCAACGACAGGATCAAGGAGCTCGGAACCCTCCTGCCCAAGACCAATGACCCGTGAGTACGAATTTCTTTTCTTCGAATTGCTGTTTCTTCGTCTTCGTTTTCGTCGTCTTCTTCTTCTGCTACCTCCTTGTTTCACATCGCACGTTTGTCCTCCTCTCTCTTCTGCTCTCTTACCATCCCTTCTTTCGTAGTCCTCTTATTCTCCAGCTTTTTGCACATTCCCCACGGACCATTATTTCCTGTTCGTGACCCTTTACGACGAGTTAGTCCAGGTCAGGTGCTCGAGACGAGAGGCTTTCACCGGAAGTCCATTCTTCGCTCTTCCTTCCCCAACCCGTTCTCCCTTCCTTCCTCTCTCGCTGGCTCTCCGCGGCTGCTCGCTTTTCCTTCTTCCTCCCAGCCTTTGTTTCCTGTTCTTCCTACCATCAAAGCGTAACACTTCCTTAGTCCTAGAAGGACGTCGTTCTTCGACCCGATGAATGAAGGCAAATGGGAGGAAAAACTAACGTCACAAACCGGAAATATGGAGAGGAAGAGATTGAAAAGGATTTTGTTTATTCTTTATGTAGCTGCGTTTTTCCCTTTTGTTTTACTTACATATTCTTGCACGCGATAGTTTTCACCAATTTTTTATATTATATATTTACGTACATACAACATATATCTACTATTTTTCTTGTTTTAGTAAAAAATATATTTAAAACTATTTTTTTTTCACGTAATTCAATATCTGTTTAAATAATCTCATTATTAAACTAATCACACACAAAGCCGTTTCTCGTTTTACTCGTACTTATTTATTGAAAATCAATTGAATTTTATGCGCACATGTACACATGAGTGTGACAATTATGTTCTTTATTTAAATTTACATATCGGTCAGCCTTATATTAATCAAATAAATTATAATTTAATTTGATATTTGATTACTAATTACACTTTCTATTGTACGTAGTGTAAATCCTGAACAATTATTTCATTTTAAATGTAAATTTACAATAACAAGGTTTTTGAAAATGGTTTTCTTAATCAAAACTACATTAATATGTTTAGAAGATTGTGCAGATACAAAATAGTAATCAACATTTATTTTAAGATTATTTGCTTATTCTAAGCGAAAGTTTTGTTCGTAAAATATTTTGTTTTCTTTCAGCATGATAACGGGCATTACTTACTATTTGTTAATAAAATTTGTTAATAATTTTTTTGTTAATAAAATTTGTTAATAAAATTTATTAATAAAATTTTTATTTAAATTCTATATCATTATTTCCTAATTATTCTATATAATTACAGATATTAAAAAAATGGATTTAATTGATAAATTTCACACAAATTCAATATTATAAATTTATTTTAATAATCTCAAGATAAACAATGTTTTGGTATAAAAACGATATATTTTATATTATTTTGAGATAATATTTTCTCACTGCACCTATACGCGCTGTTCAAGGAAGAAATATATTTGGGTTTTCTACCTCCTTATATTTCTACGGAGAGCATCCGCATCGATGGCGTACACTTCCTGTCTGACCTGTTTCGGACATAATCCCTGACACGAATCTTTGGTTCCGAGACTTCTTCGATGTACGACGTACTAACGAGCGACCCTTTTGCATAGAATAGCTGCCCAAGTCCGTTGTTCATTTATCAATCCGACGACCGACCCATTTGTCTACGTCAACATCCGGCGAACTTAAAAACTACCTCTATCTGCTTTGGCGTTCTCTTTTCTGGCGCATGTTTCTCTGAATATCGATCTTCGACGAGAAAACCACGGAAAAATTCGAAGATTAGATTTCAGTTGTTGGTTTGCTCAATAATATTACAAAATACTTATGTATAAAATTGTTTATTATAAAATTAGTTACAAGTTTTTTAATACGTCAGAATCATTTGTCACTTATATATTTGTATATTTTTGATAATTCTGTAGATTAGGAGCCACCTCCGATTTCGATAATTTTTACATATGTTGTGAAGGTCATTGTCCCGAGTAATAATGTGAAGGTTTTAGGCCGCGGACGTTGTTTGTTAAAAAGTTACGAGGGGAAGAAGTTTCATGAATGAATTCTTATTTTTCGGTCCCACGTACATTTCGTTCGCGTTTGAAGCGCGTAGGCAGGGGGGCTGCACCCCCCTGCACCCCCCCAAAACCTAACTGAACCTAACCTAATCTAACCCTCCTCGGGGAAAAATAACGACTTCCGATTACATTCGCTTCTTGTGAAAACTGGGTACTTGATTTTCAAGGGGGGAGGGGCAAAGCCCCTTTTGGAAGTTAGGTTAGGTTAGGGTTTGTTTTATTTAATTATTTATTCATTTATATTTTCATTTATTGGATATGTAACAGACATTATTTCAAAAAAAGCGTCCAATCGTTTACATTTCCAACTGCAGAACACATATTCATACATAGGATGTCGAGAAATTGCATATTGTTCAGTAGACTTCTTCGCCTTGTAACTTTTTAACAAACAACGTCCGCGGTCTAAAACCTTCACATTATTACTCGGGACAATGACCTTCACAACATATGTAAAAATTATTGAAATCGGAGGTGGCTCCCCTAATCTGCAGAATTACCATATTTTTTATATATTTTGTATACATTTATATTAGGTTTTGTTTTTTATCAGATATTTTGGGTAATAGGCTTCTATGATGTGCGCTTTATTTTTGATATATTTTTATTTAGAGCATTTTTTTCTTCTTTTTGTGATGACTTTCGTCAGAGCTTTTGAGTTTTTACTGTCGCAATTCTTCATATTGTATTAACACAATGCGCGAACAATTAAAAAACGTGTCGTTTATAATAATAATTGATTTACAATATCGCAATTTATTACATTATCTACTACCGATGAAGGAGAAGCGTGCAACTCGATATGTATGTTCTTTATCTTACCGTCATATTACCGTTATATATTTTTCGTCACGTCACTGAGATAAATGTGATAACGAGAGCACGTCTGGGATTAATGTGTTCCACGTCTCGAATTTCTTCTGATATTTAGAGCTGGCGAGATGAAAAAGTTGAATTAATGCGGCTTTAACTCGCGATCATATTTGTCATCGATAATTTATACTCAGTTTCGATGTCTCGCTAAAATTTCACTTGAAACTTCGCAAATTCCATAATGCCGTTTCGATGCCGGTATACACATGCATTGTTCGCGCATTTGTTCATTATTTTGCGATGTTGTGCTATCACATATATGTTGGAACATGTCCTCGATTTGTAATAACTCTTATCTGTAATGACGCTTGCTTTATCGATAAGACAGTAATGTGCAATTGTTACCAATGCGATAACATTCGCGAATGAATAGAAAAATTGGAATGTCAATTGTATTGCACAACTTTCTTAAGGCGAGCACGTCTGTGTCGGTTTATATTTTTCGAGGGAATTTCACATGACAAACATGGCAAACACACACATATGAAGTAAATTAAAAAATATGTATTTACTTTTTTTTTTATAAAGATGAGTAAGCAATTTTAAGAATATATTTGAACGGTTGTTTTACTACTAAATTTTAAAATGTTGCTTTATCGCGGACATAAAAATGAAGAAATACAAAATACATTACATTGTTATATAAAAAATTAATTAAAGTGTTTTGTAAAATGTCTACAAAACAAATATTTGAACTTGCACAATTACACGAGGAACTGTGATTTTATCAGTTGAGACTACAGAAATTATTTGCGCCGATCGCAATTATATCCTACAAGAGCGGGGGGAAGGGGAGTAATGACACATTAGAAACTCTCATGAGCGTTTTGACAACCATCTTTCTTCGTTAGGGTTTTAGTTTTGGCTTAGGCCGAGAATATCAAGAGGAACGCGAGTAAACTCGGTGCGCGATAACACGTCACTGATAACGAAGTACAGTTTCGGTTCTAAAGACATCGACAAACACGACACAGATTTCTCTCTGCGTCTCTCGTCGATGTCTCCGTTCATCATGCTCAAGTTTCCGAATCGTTTCTGTAAAGATCCGTCTCTCCCGTTTCTCTCCTCATCCGTGTTCTCCTTATGTCACTGCTCATTAGCGCGAACGAAGGCGAAACCGTCAATGCCGTTCGTGCTCGGTTGTTTATTGTTTGCAATGCAAACTCGTTTCCGACGTGAGTACAAGTAGGAAAACCACCGCGCAATTCTCGAACTGAGGAGATCTGAAACACGTTTTGAAATGACGTTCCGTTTTCGACATAGAAACGCCGAATGTTTAACAATCGAAGCGTGAGTCTCTTGTCAATCACGCACGTAACAATAGTTGAATCTGTGATTATATAACGCGCGGTGTTAAACGGTTCTTCAGACATTCGTTTTACATTGCAGCAACTTATATTTTGCGGTGCTCGTGTTTAATATTCGACTGATAAAAATAGTTTATATTTAATATCAGTGAAAAAAAACATTGTCTATTACATCAGAGACATGTGTACTTAAAATTTAATCTTTCGCATACAGACTTCAAAAATGACAATACTGGTTATATTGGGTCCGTGAGACCCACGCGACTTTAAACGCAAATATCTCCGCGAAAAATCAATATTTTTCAATTGTTTTTTTTTTTTTAAGTTTTGGATAACAAAACAATTTTAAAAAATTTCTAGTATAATCTCGAAGCGAGCTTTGAAGTAAACTAATGTTTACTAGAGACACCGGTTTGAAATTTTTGAGTGGGTCTGGGAGACCCATGTTTACATGCCAAGAGTTAAAATAAAAAGTAAACATTTTTATATTTATCAACAAAATTATATCGAAAATATAAACATGTTGTGGGCAATTAAAACTTTTCGATTGTTGACAGACACTCAGTCACGGTTGTACATATGTTGAATCTAATTAAATATATTCGTCAGTGAAAGTTGGCGAAATACATGCGCGGCGCAGTTTCTCGCTGAAAGACGCGACGTGAGTGATGGAGTATTAATTCGCGAGAGTGAACTTGAAAACATATACGTATAATAGAATCCTTGTTACAAACCCTCATAATACCGTGTACATCGTGAACAACTTAGGACCGACCAAAAAACCACTTTCTCTCTTATATATGAACATGAAAAATTAATAAAGCGTATACTTTGTTAGGTTTAGCGGACTTTTGCGGCAAATGCAGTTTGCAAGCTCCTCCGGTTGACGTACACGAATCCGCACAAGCCGCAAATTCGCTCTCTAAGCAAAGTTGTTGTTGGGTACGTGAACACCGACAATGACGCTTCGCGTGGAAAAGAGATACAATGTTCCAGTGCCGCTGTTTGGTTTCCGAGTTTGCCTGGCAGGCGCAAAATCTCGCGAGTCATGCTTATATTCGTGATCGCGCTTATTCGCAACGCGCTTATTCGTGATCGCGCATGAATTTAATTACATAGTTTTGTCAAGCCAATGTAAATTATTAGCTGTGTCGCGCGAGAACATTTGCGCCGTTGCAAGAACGCGTTACTGTTTCTCGCCAAAACAATAAGTTATAAATACTTGTTACTTAGTGACGTTGTTCCACGTACTCATCTACTCGTCTTTCTCTCTGTTAAATAAATTTCAAAATATTTGTCTGCTCAAAGTTTTGATTTATTTTTATTTATGCAATTTCATTTTATTTTAATTTTAAAGATATACATATATATATATATATATATATATATATATATAATTTGTGCTTTCATTTGCACGTTTTCTATGAGACTTCGATCATAAGCGGTGACAGGCGAATTTAGAGATGCGACAGCTGCATGATGCGCTTTCGATCCTTCTTGGTATCCTGAACGGGAATAAGAGGGAGGATTATATTTTCTTAGATGAAAGAATGTGTGTATGAGAGAGAGAGAGAGAGAAAAAGAACATTCACGTAGGAGTCTACGAAGAATGAATGTGTCGTCTGGTCATGACGAATATCACCTCATAATAGGCTTTCCACTCGCCGCTGTTCTTTTCGTGGACGGTTGCAGCTCGCGATTTTTCGGGCGATAAATCGACAAAACGATTCTGTCATAAATCAACGGTCGCACGGCGCAGCGTGAGGCAAAGGAAAGAGCGTGAATAACGACAAAAATCCGTGAGTGTTGTTTGCGAATTTCGCGTGAGAATATTATTTTTGAATCGCAGAGGTAACTTATACATTATGTGTCTCTCTTTCTCTTTCGCGCGCGCGTCTTTGTAATTAAAAAGTTTAACTACGGTATCGCTATAAAATTTTGCTATCTCTCTTTGAAATATACATTTCTGTCACAAAAAAGCTTCACGAAGTAAAGAAATATCGATATCAGTGTGTGAAGAATGATGTGATTGATGTCGCACATTGTGTGAAAACAATCTAAGTTTTTCTTGATCGTTTCATTATTGTATTAGAACTGATTTATTGTAGATAAAAATTTGTAGATAATATATCTTATCAACTATATCTTATTGATGCGTACGATAGTTCTCGCAATCTTTTAATATTGGTTACATTGAGTGTAGAGAAAAAAAAAGTATTTTTTATCGTTCGTACAATATACAGGGTGTCCCAGAATGGCCGTACAATCTCTCGTAGGCAGGTAGAAGGAGTAAAACTGAGTCGAAAAGTCTTATACCATTTTGCTAGATTCGCAATAGTTACTGAGATTTTAATTAACAAAGATCCGCGAATAAGCATGCATCGGGCTGT